GGGGATTACAAAGCAGAATCGTCCCTTTCTCTTAGGAATCAGAAGAACAAAGACCCCATTCTCCGGGGGTCATGTTCCAATCTAGGGGTGCTTATCGAGCTAGTCGATAGTAAGTTAGGTAGTGTTCGACTCATGCTCGTTAAAAAAATTGTTGGCCAACTCGACTTGTTGCTCGTTAAAATTTTGCTCGACTCGTGAAAAAAACTTATTGGTCGACTCAACTCATTGCTCGTTAAGCTCACCAGTATTTTTGGATAGGGTAATTAGAGTTTGATTTTTGGTTGTAATAAATTAATAATTTAATATTTTTCTTATTATTTTTTAGAAAATTCATAGATTAGTAGATTAATAGTAATTATTAATTAATAATTTAGTATAATTCTTTTTATCTAGTTGTAAATTAGTAATTATTGTTTAGACTTTTAACAAAATAATTTTCAAGTTAACTTTTAAAAAATTATAAACAAAATTAATGAACTACTCGCGAAGTAATCGAGTATAGTTAAACATTGCTCGACTTAACTTGTTAAGGTTTCGAGTCAAACTCTAGTTTGAATTGAGTGAACTCGAGTCAAGTATTAATCGAATTTTGATCTAATTGAATTTGAGCAACTCATTAAACACCCATAATCCAATCAACGTAGTGAAATTATGTTTATGCTCGGCGGGAAATTAAAGAATTAATTATAGTTAAATTAAAAAAAATAATTTTATTAAATAATCCATTATTTTAATATTTCACATAAATGTTTTTATAATTACATTAAGGATAAAGTATACTAATGGTCACTGAACTTTTATAAAGCTTTCATTTAGGTCCCCTAACTTTTAAAACTTGCAATACAATCCCCCAACATTTAGTCCGTTTGCAATATGGTCCCCCAACGGTTACATCGGGGACCATATTGCAAACGAACTAAATGTTAGGGGACCATATTGCAAATGGACTAAATGTTTGGGGACTGTATTGCAATTTTAAAAGTTAAGTGACCTAAATGAAAACTTTTGAAAAGTTTAGTGACCATTACTATACTTTACCCTAAAAAATTAAGGATGTTCGAAAGTTGGAAAGGAATATGGGAAGGAAAAGAGACGGTCTTTAAATAAAAAGGACAAGCAGAAGACGCAATAAGAATTATATTTTTGTTTGGTATAATTCTGAATTCATCCCCCATTTTATAAAATTATAGAACTAGCCTCTTTACTTTAATTTATCAAATATTTGTCATCATATTTTATGAAAACTTTAAATTTAGTTCATTTATTAATTATACTGTTAAATATTGACGTTAAATCCCAAAACTGAAAATCATTAGTTCAATAATTAATATATATAGAACTAGAAAAAAATTAATAAGACTAATAATTTATGTTTAGCATAAAATAACAGTTTAACGTCAAGGTTTAATAATATTACTGACAAATTATTTTTTAAAAATTTTCAAAAAATATAAGGACTAAAGTTTAACAAATTAAAACAAAAATGTTAACTTCTCAATATTTATAAATTGGAGGTATTTAATTCACAATTAAACCTATCCATTCCCTCAATGTTGATTTGCCGATTTCAAATAAGGTAAGTATTCTGATTTTTTTTAATGTTATGCAAAAGACACATTTAACCTTCTTTTCATTAATTCTTTGTTTGTGCAAAATCGGAAATGTGGTTTTTGGTTGGTACGTGGATTTTTTTTACAATTGGCGGAACCCAGATATCGACAACAAAATTATCAGTCACGCGCCCTTTTAGCCACGAATATACGCGCTATTGACACAGTCGAACTAAATTTGGTTTATGATGGCTCCTCACGTAGATATAATTCACAAAAATAATTAGATTTTAATAAATTAAAAAGCAATTTTGTAAGAAAATAAAGAGTAGGTAAGAAATCAAATTATTTTATTATTTTTTCAGTAAATATAGAATTTTTAGGAGATTGCATAATATGATAAGATAGAGATATTTTATCAAAAGAAACATGGTATAGGTTATTTATTATTTATTTAATTTTTTGCACATGTCATTTTATTTATTTATTTATGCAAGTAATCAAATAATGTTGACCAAAAAATTCTTAATGCTTATCTCAACTTGATCTTTAAACCCATGTGATGTGATGCATGGTAAATGCATCTTTTAAAATTATATCATGATTAAGAAAAGGGTAAAGTATACTAATGGTCACTGAACTTTTCTAAAGGTTTCATTTAGGTCATCTAACTTTTAAAACTTGCAATACAGCTTCCCAACATTTAGTCCGTTTGCAATATGTTCCCCCAACAGTTACGTCCGGGACCATATTACAAATGGACTAAATGTTGTGTTGGGGGATCATATTGCAAATGGACTAAATGTTTGGGGACTGTATTGCAAATTTTAAAAGTTGGGGGACCTAATGAAAGCTTTAGAAAAATTCAGTGACCATTATTATACTTTACCCTTACATTAAAACAAGTAAAATAAATGACAAAAGAATGGAAACAAAATAAATAAATGACTTGCACGAAACAACTTACCGCAGTGATTAAATGAATCGTTGTTATTCCTAGAGGTCACAAGTTCGAGCACCAACATCTGCAAGAGTAATTGAGCATTCAATGTATAACATGTACTACTTGTAATCACCTCTAGCTTAATAAAAATAAAAAGAAATGACTTATCCAACCCGTTTCAATACTGTGAATAAATTTTAAATAAAAATAATTTAACTATTATAATTTAACTGATAAATAATTAAATGTGTCATTTTAACCTTGAATTGATATACATACTTACTTTGAAATGATCTTATATTATTTGTTTAAATATTTTCAGACATTGATCTTTATATTTAATTTTGAGATTGTATCTAATGGGATATAAATTATCATCTGACTTTGTCATTGTAACGATTTCCTGAAACTCCTAATATGATGGTTATGTATATGATTTTATAATACGTATATGAGTTATATACGAATATTTTGTTATTTTATATAAATCATCTTAAATATGACTGTGTAATGTAATCTTTGAAGATTAAATATGTTATGTTACCAAAGTAGTCAAAATGTGATCAAGCATCAATCGATAATTATTAGAGGTGAGTTTGGCGTGTGTTCTTGCATAGTTAATGATAAAATGTTGATTGATATTGGAACGGCTGTAACAGAACCATTATGTTTCTTTTCTTTTTTCCTGAAATTTACCCTTTTCTTCAAATCTCTTCTGTTTCTTCAACCTCTCTTCAATTCTTCTTTTATTTCCTGCAAGTTCACAATAAAACCATGACAATTTGATGTGGACTAATGTAGTTGCAAGACATGTGCTGAATGGTGTAAGGTAGGAAGCATTAAAGATATGTTTAAAAGGTTGAAAATGACTATTTGATACATTTGGTATCGGCACCGTACATATTTATCGATACTAAATAAATTGGACTCAAGGTATTAATACCAATGAAGAGAATATCGATACTTGAAGGCAAAATCAGACTATAATATGTTAATTTGATATTGATACTGAAGTTGAATATCGATACTCAAATTTTGGTGTCGATATCCAATAGTTGATTCAAAATTTTTAAATCTCAAATAGATACCGACACTATCCAATGGTATCGGTTGTATTCATACAATATCATACCTATAAGTTAGTATAGGTGACAACCACTTAAAATTGATAAATTAGTAATGTGATCCTTCAATTGTATAAAGTCTATGATATGGCCTATTAACTTACAACAATTGTTTATGATTTACATTGTTGACATTGAAAATTGGAATCTTTATAGACTAGCTACTAAATCATTTAGGATTACCAGTCATCGGTATTATATCGAACAGTCAATGTAGCAAGTTCCTAGTTATAAGAGGAACATGAAACAGTTGATTAAGAGCAAGGTGCCTAGCAAAAGCAACTGAACTGGACTGACCAGTACTAGCAATGGACAGAGAAGAAGCATCAAGTAAATGAGTCTTACCCTTGCTTTCATCTGGACAACCAGTTTGAAAGCTTGCAGAGTCACGGACTACATGAATGAAGATGCATCACCTTGGTAGTGGACAACTTTGAGTATAGCCACGAGACGACAACCCTGAATGAGGCAAAGGTTTTAGCTCCAACTAGCTGTGGCAAAACATTAGGGCTTACCGTCGAGAGAAGCCAGGAAACTAATAAGTTGTTCTACTTGATGCTGGATTGAATAACATTCACCGGCATGATTCTCCATAAATTTCATCGGAGCGAAGATCGAGTCATCCAGATACCCCTTTAAGACAGTGACCACGCACCATCAACATCACTTATTGTTTCCAAAAACATGTAGTTAGTGTCATCAAGACGAACACTAACCCCCTTGTTAAAGAAAATCTGCTCAGCAGAATCATCGTTTAATGAGAAATTGGTCAGACGGTTGCCAACAAAGTCTGGACGGTGGAGAGACTGCTCCATGACTGAAAGAAAATTTCAAGAACAAACTCAAAACTACACCAAACGACCAACAACAAGCATATTGGATATCGCAACTCCATCGACTGATCATCAACAATCAAAGACAGAGAAGCAAAGTAGATAAATAAATAAATCGAAGACCAGCTGGAATATAACAAAGTTGGGGAGAATTATAAAGCAGAATCGTCCCTTTCAGTTAGGAATCAGAAGAACAAACGATCCGACCGCTTTATAATCTGGAAACATTCACTTTTACTTATTTTCTCGTCTTTTTATCAGCTAGCTTTAGTTGTTTCGGTTTTCCAATTAACTTCAAATCTTAAATTCATGTTCGAATCTTAAAGATGATTATATTAGAAGGAATAATCACGAATCTTAAACATAGACCATAAAACAAATATGAAAAAGAAGAGGGAGAGGCCATGAGCTTTCCTTAATAGCATGTTCCAGACCCAGTTTCATTTGATATAACTTTTTGGAGGTAGGTAGAAGGCCGAAATAACACTAAACTTTATATTTTTTTACTGTAGATTTATGTTATTAGAGACAACATTAAAAATAATAAGGAATGCTTTCGGCTTTGAACTTCCCTCAAAACTTTCTGATATTCCAGCTGGTCCATGCAGTATGCATGGCGGCAGGTATATCTGATTCTCAAAACAATCTCTAAAAGACATACTATATATAGTATTTTAGTATCACGCGCTGTGTATCGACGTTGGACATGTTTATTAGTCAATATCTCAGCCTGTCAAGTTGTTCTAAGAATGATCTGATGGCGACTCAGCGCGAGTTCGCTTTCTCCAACTCTCCTTTTTTTTTATCATTTTGTTTAGCTTTGGATATGGGAGTTTTCAAGGAAACTTACTGCTGGAACTCTATATAACAAGCACTTCGGTAGAGCTGATCTATCCGGGACTGGAGTCAAAATTAAATATTGAAAGATGTTGAAATATTGGATTATTTAAGAAAAATATAAAGACTTATTCGGTATTCAAACTCGAACAAGCGACTTTATTGATTAAGGGAATTGTTATTATCCTTGAGGTCCCAAATTTAAGTACTATATATGTAGGGATATGAGCGTTCATTGTCAAATAGTTGAAAGTTTTTGTACATATACTACTTTATATTCACCTTAAATAATTTATAATAAAAAACTCAAAATTCATAAGTTAACTTTTAATTTGTCTAATATTTAAACTTACAATAACCTAAATTGTAATTAGATTAAAAAATTTGAGAATACATACTTATCATTCTTTAGTTCGACCACTACTTAATTAAATATTTAATAAATTTTAATATTTTTTAAACTTAAATATTTATTTTTACATGAACCAAAATACTATTAAATCAAAATTATATCGAATATACAACTTTTAACAGGCCGGGTCCCCTTGGGCTCTAAGGGAGCTCGGTACCTGGATGTATCTGCAACAGAAAATGGCATTCTCTGTCTTGGTAATATTTGGTAATAACTAGTCTTTTATTCTTTCTTCCATCTTGTCTTTGATTGCTTGCATCACTTGCATTGCATGGCCCAACTTTATATGTCTTGTTTATCTTTCAACATTTATAGGTCTTTCTTCTTCCACTCCATTTAGCTCCTTTGTCGTATGGCTGATGATGCCATGCCTCACTGATGTGTGGAAGCTAAATTTTAATGATGCCGCTGCAATCGTCAATGTTTGGAGGGGACTGATGTCGATGCTGCCGATTTGCATGTTATATATTGCTGATACCGTGACCGGTAAGTTTTGGATGATCTTGCTGTTTGGTTTAGCTTGTAGTACAGTAAGATTTTCTTCAAATAGATGTTAATTGATAGTAACATATTGTATATAGTAATAAATGACAAAGGTTGTCCCGTCCAGGGGTTCGGACTATTGGCAATGTCGACACCGCCGGTTTTTACAAAGGAAACTGGCAGTTGTGCTGCGTACCAGCCGGACTGTATCAGCGGCGAAAAGAGAATCCTCTTACTTGCATCACTTTTTTTAATAGCATTCGGATTATCAGGTCTAAGACCCTCCCTATCCCCATTTTTGAATGATCAAAGGAAAGAAGAGGAGGAAGAATAAGAAAAAAAAATCAGTTGCGGAAAATGTCTAGGACTGTGTTTCATGCTCCCTACCGTGATCATAATCTCTGTTGCAGCTCTTATATCAATGGGCTATATAAAACCATGGTCCTTTAAGTTTGGGATTCCGGCTATAAGCACAACAGCAGCAACCTTGATCTTTGTAAGTGGTTCATGTCAGTAGAGCAAATAACCCCCAAATGGAAGCCCGTTCACCACAGTGTTCAGGGTCATTTGCGCGGTTACTTCCAAAATGTTCATTGGTACCCCAAAGGATGCCGGTCGGCTATATGAGAGAGTGAAACGTTCTGATGATTGTACTTTTTTTCTGGACCACACCAACGATCTCCGGTTTAGCTCTCTCTCTCTTTCTCTTAACATTTCCCATTCATTCATAGTAATTTTTTAAAGTAAATCGATAGTATTTGATGCAGTTTTCTGGACAAAGCCGCCACATTTGTGCCAAACCAACACTCGGATCGACAAAAAAGAAACAGGTGGAGACTTTGTAGAGTAACAGAAGTTGAAGAAACAAAGCTTGTCATCCGCTCAATTGGTATGTGTTCATTCTTCATCATCTGCGGGCTCGTATCCGCCATCGGCCACACTTATTTCATCTCTCAAGAAAACCACTTGAAGCGCAAGAAGTTCCCTCTTCTACTTCTTCCTTACATATGTGACATGTCGAAGTCGGACTACAGTAATTTGTACTCAAGTTTTGGATCGTCGAGCAAGTATCATCCACCGATCGGCATCGGTATTTCCATGATTTTAGCCATAATTTGTTGTATAGTTGCTTCAAAAGTCGAGACTAAGAGATTAAACGAGGTCGCGAGACATGGTTTATTTGACAAGCCTGATGCTGAAATTCCTCTGTCCATTGCTCATTTGATACCTCAGTTTGCGTTACTCGGAGCCCTCGATGGAATTTTCGAACTAAGCGTAGTGAGTTTCGTCAAAAACCAGGTCCCTACCACCATGAGTCCATACCTGACTTGGTTAAGCGAGGGCATCCGTGGAGTAGGGACAGTCAGCAGTGTTCCATCAGTGTTCGTGGTCGGAAAGTTAAGCCAATCAGATGGGAAACCGAGTTGTTTCCAGGACACCCTAAACAGGAGTCGTTTGGACAGTTATTACCGGACATTAGCTTTTCTAGTTTCAGTAAACCTTGTTTTCTATAGTTTTGTGGCATATCGTTTCAAGTTCAGGGATTCATCGGAGTTCAAAATCCCTGAATATTCACCCTATCAAGAAACCGCAGATGAAATTATGTATGAAGATCCTGAAGATCTTCGTTCAAATTTGGGTGGTTGAGATTGTTGATGATGCTTGTAATTTAATTAAGTAGTAGGCCTAAAGTTCAAGCTCTTCGTTCATAATGGTTGTTAATAAAGTTGGACCTCTTTCTTGTTCTAATTTCTCTACTGGTCAGTTTGCAATATAATAAGGAACTTGAGTATCGTTCACAAAAAATATTTCTTTTTGCTTATTCACATTCTTGAAATAATCTATCTCCTTCTTTAAAATTGTTGTACCCCTTCTAAAGGTACTCCACATGATTGATCCCAATCTCAAGTTCTTCGAAGGATCCAAAATCATCTTTAATCTTTTATGCAAAACAAAACAACTCTGAAAAATCATGAAAGAATAGATTTAAAAAAAATCTCGAATACTTAACGTATCTAAAAAACATGATTAATTTGACATTTTTTTTACAGATCCAAGTGACCTACTAGAATTAAATCTATTATTAGTTGATTATATTCACTTAGCTTGCTAACCTATGATTAACCATAATAACCCTATGTCTAACAACAATACTAAGAATCACTATAAAACCTCTCGATCAAGACCGAGAGAAGGAGCGAGAACTCCCTATTCTTTCTCTCAATGCAACCTTCCTCCATCTCCTTATGGAGATAGAAACTTCGGATACTGAGCAATGATCGTTTAACCATATATTTTGACTTTCCTCTAAATTAGAAGAGGTGGACCACCTACCACCGACGTAACTCATTTATTCTTATTAATAATTGGAGCGAGAAATATGGAATACCTATTATCATAAATGAATCAATCGAAATGCACCCCAAAGGAAAAATACTCAATATCAACCCCAACGTTTTCTTAAAATCTTTCACAATTTACGTGGCTGTTTCCTAACAGAACCTGTAGAATCGAGATACAAAACTTACATGTATCGATGAACATCCCTCGGAGAATGAGATTGGAAGCGTGGTGCCTCTACTCATTCGGATTACTTTTTGTTGAAAAGTCAAAATTGATGCATTCAAGATTTGGCAGCCGGCGGCTGATTAGGTGATTCAAAATTAGGCAGCAAGATTTTGTTGAAAATGGCCAAGGGAAAATTACCAAATTTAGTCTCTATACTTTAGGGTATTTATAAGATTAGTCCTTAAGCTTTAACTATAAATACCCTAACCCATTTAGCTTCAAAATCATCCCAAATCATTCTAGCTTTCTCCCAATTCTAGAGAAATTAGAGAGTTTTCTTGAGAGTAATTTTCAGGTTGTGAGTGTTTTTTTTGTAAACACCTGTAAATTTTTTCCCTTTAGTAAAATATCTACAGCAGTCTGGAGATGTAGGCATAATTGGCCGAACTCCATTATCAATTTCGGGTATTATTATTCCGCTTTTATTTTGCATTCTTACTAATCTGGTTATAGTGAAATTACTCGTTTAATTTTCCAACAACTGGTATCAAGAGCTTTTGGTGGTGAATTTTGTCAGTTTTCTCTGCGAGGTTAGTATTCATGTGAATAGTGATTTTCGTCAATAGTAAAATTTGGTCAGTGATACGAACTTGTCGACGGATGTGTTCTAATACACAGTGGTTCGCAGGAATTGTCAAAAACAATCCAAAAAAAGCCAGATTTGAGTGGGAGCGATGACTGCAGACGAAAGGAAGGTGAAAAATTGAGATGTTCGATGGTGCGGACTTTGGCTTTTGGAAGATGCATATTGAATATTTTCTGTACCAGAAAAAGCTATATCAACTTCTCTCAGGAAAGCAACCAGAGGGCATGAAGGATGAAGAATGAGCTCTTATCGACAGACAAACCCTCGGAGTTATTCGACTAACGTTATCCCACAATGTTGCTTTCAACATAGCAAAGGAAAAGACCATGGCGGGTCTTATGGCAGCTCTCTCCAGTATGTATGAGAAGCCATCGACATCAAACAAAGTTCACTTGATGAGGCGATTATTCAATTTGCGGATGGCGGAAGGGGCATCAGTGGCGACAGACAAACCCTCGGAGTTATTCGACTAACGTTATCCCACAATGTTGCTTTCAACATAGCAAAGGAAAAGACCATGGCGGGTCTTATGGCAGCTCTCTCCAGTATGTATGAGAAGCCATCGACATCAAACAAAGTTCACTTGATGAGGCGATTATTCAATTTGCGGATGGCGGAAGGGGCATCAGTGGCTCAACACCTAAATGAACTTAACACAATCACAACACAGTTGAGTTCCGTGGAAATTGAATTTGACGATGAAGGTCGAGCTTTAATTCTCTTATCATCTCTACCAGACAGTTGGAATGCTACTGTTATAGCAGTCAGCAGCTTGTCAGGAAACAGTAAATTGAAATTCGACGATGTTCTGGATCTGGTATTGAGTGAAGAAATTCGACGGAGAGAATTGGGTGAAGCATCAAGCTCCTCAGCCTTGCACACGGAGTCTAGAGGGAGAACTTCATAAAGAAATCCAAATCGTGGCAGATCAAAATCTAGAAGGGAAAATCAAGAATGAGAAAGAAAGATTTTAATTGTTATAATTGCGGCAAGAAGGGTAACTTTAAAAGAGATTGTCGAGCAGCGAAGAAAGATACCGACGCACATGAATCTGCCAACATGATAGAGGAAACAGGTGATGCCATGATTCTAAGCGTGAACAGTCTGATTGAATCATGGATCTTGGATTCAGGGGCATCTTTCCACGCTACCCCATGCCAAGAAATCGTGGAGAACTATGTTAGTGGTGATTTTGGGAAGGTTAATCTAGCTGATGATAAAACCTTAAAGATCATCAGAAAAGGAGACATCCGATTAAAGTTGCCAAACCAGACCACTTGGAAGCTGAAAGGAGTGAGACATAATCCTGGCCTTAAAAGAAATTTGATTTTTGTAGGACATGTTGATGGATAAGGATATAGTACAACCTTTTCATGTAGTGAATGGAAGATTACCAAATGAGCACTTGTCATTACTCGTGGTAAGAAGACTGGTACTCTCTATGTAACCTCAAACTTGGAGAATATCATTGCAGTAGTAGATGTTGATGGAAAATCAAACTTATGACACCAAAGGCTTTGTCATATGAGCGAGAAATGGATGAAGACACTTTTTTCAAAAGGGAAGCTGTCGGATTTAAAAAATATAGATGTCAGACTATGTGAGGATTACATCTTTTGCAAACAAAAGAAAGTCAGTTTTGCAAAGATTGGCAAGACACCCAAGGCTGAAAAGTTAGAGTTGGTTCATACTGATGTATGGGGACCATCTCCAGTTTCATCTCTTGCAGGCTCACTACATTATGTCACCTTCATCGATGATTCTACAAGGAATGAGTGGGTTTATTTTCTGAAGAAGAAATCAAAAGTCTTTGATACCTTCAGAAAATGGAAGCCTATGGTGGAAAATGAGACTGGTTTGAAAGTCAAACGATTGAGGTCTGATAATGGAGGAGAGTACAAAAATATTAGATTCAGAGAATTTTGCACAAAAAATGGGATCAAGATGGAGACAACAGTTCCCATGACACTACAGTAAAATGGCGTAGCAGAGTGCATGAACAAAACTCTGAATGAACGTTCCAAAAGCATGAGGATACATGCCAGCTTGCCCAAATTGCTATGGGCTCAACACTGCAGCTTACCTGATCAACTGTGGGCCCTAAGTTCCCTTGGATGGTGGAATACCAGAGGAAGTTTGGAGCAAAAAAGAAATAAGCCTTTCACACTTAAGAGTGTTTGGTTATATTTCTTATGTACACATAAATTCTACTGAGAGAAGTAAACTTGATGCTAAGTCCAACAAATGTGTCTTTGTTGGTTATGTTGGTGATGAGTTTGGTTACCGTTTTTGGGACTATGAAAATCGAAAGATCATCAGAAGAAGAGATGTCATTTTCAATGAGAATGTGATGTATAAAGACAGGCCAACCATAAATTCAAGTAATTCCAATACCGAAGCTGAAACAAAGGAATTTATTGAGTTTGAGGAGATTTCTGGAAATGATGTTCAGATCAGTCCTGAAGCAATTCAAGAAGAACCAGGCACACCAAAACTGAGACGTTCCTTCAGAATTCCTAAATTAACCCAGCGTTATTCGCCTTCTTTGCACTACTTGTTACTGACTAACAATGGTGAACCAAAGTTCTACGATGAAGCAATGTAGGTGGAGGATCCAGTCAAGTGGGAGTCTTCTATGAAAGATGATATGGACTCGCTTATGTCAAATCATACATGAGAAATAGTTGAATTACCACCAGGCAAGAAAGCGCACCATAACAAGTGGGTTTACAGGATCAAAGAAGAGAATGATGGGAGCAAACGCTACAAAGAAAGATTGGTTGTCAAAGGTTTTTAGAAAAAAGAAGGTATTGACTACAATGAAATTTTCTCTCCAGTCGTGAAGATTGTAATACCAAAAAAAAATTTAAATAATGACCAAAATGAATATTTTGAAAGTTTTATGGTCAAAGTAGAAAATTAGGAAAAAGTTTAGGAAATTAAGTGATAATTTCCTAAAAAGAATTTTATTCTATAAATAGATAGTTTACTATTGAGAGTGGGGTTTTATAGAGATCATATTATTGGATTTGGAATTTAGTAAAGAAAAGTTAGAAAGGGTTAAAGCCGATAAGGAATTGGTAATTCAGATCGAATTATAATTTTACAAAAATTTGAAGGATGTTATAAATTGGTTGGAAATATTATTTTAATATTTTGGATCAGAGAAGTTTTGTTTGGAAATGTGCAATTTTTCATATTTAACCGAAACAATGGAATTTAGTGACTAAAACACAAGATTTGAAAAATTCAGGGGAAATTTCAGAAATAAAATTCAAAATAATTCAGCTTTGACTTTGAAATATGACAAGGATGAGTTGTCATGGTTTTATGGTGAATAAAAAGATTCATTAAGGGTAAAAATGGAATTTCTTATTGAATGGAATAAAAAAATTCCATTATAATATTATATTAAGCATGTGCTAGATCTAATTAACATTAGAATAACAATAATGGGGGAACATTTCAGCTTCTTCTTCATCCAAGGGCCTGC